GGACCCTCGCCTCGAGGCCGGGGGGCTGCCACACACGGCCGGGGGGCTGCAGGGGGCGCAGGGAGGCGGTGCGGAGCGGGCAGGGCGGCCCTGGAGGGCCGGGACGGAGCCGCCCCCTCCCCGTTCCCTTCCCCGTTCCCCTCCCCTCAGCCCCCCAGCCCGGCGCCCCCCAGCGCGCATGCGCCCCGCCGCTCCCGCCGCGGCTCACGATCTGGCAGCGCGCCCCGCCGCCCCCCGAGCGCGCACGCGCGCCCCGCCGCCCCGGCGCCGCCGCTCAATGGCTCACTATTTGGCAGCCGCCAGCCCGGCCCTCGGCGGCGCCGCGGGGCGGCGGGAGGGGCCCCGCCGCGGGCCGGCGGTGCGGCGCGGGGGCTCGGCGAGGGCGAAACGGAGCGTTACCTGCGGGGTACTCGACGTGAGTGAGGGAGACCGGCCGCCACGGCGCGGGCAGCGAGCACTCGCCGACTGCGGCCATCTTACCCGGATACCGGGCCGGGCCGCCGCGGCCAATCGCGGCGCGCTTGAGGGGCGGGGCGGCCAATGGGCGGGGGCGCGGGGAGCGGCGGGCCAATGGCGGCGCGCGGCAGGGGAGGCGCCGGCCAGCCCAGCGCCGCCCAATTAAACCCCCGGCCCGGGCAGCGCCGCAGCCAATCGGCTGCCGGCACCGCGGCCCAGCGGGGGGCGGGCGCAGGGAGCGGCGCAGCCAGTCGGAGGAAAGGCGGGCGGCAGAGCGCTTCGTCATTGGCCGGGAGGGCGGTGCGGATGAGCCAATCGGCGGCTCGCGCTGGCAGCTGCTCTCAGCCAATCGGCGGCGGCGCTGGCGCGGCGGGCGCGGGGCGCTGAGGCGGGGGCTGGGCGGGAAAAGGGCTGGGTTGGGCTCCCCTCACGGCCCCGCCGCGGACAGCCCGGGCTCCCCAAACAGCCCCCACAGCCCCGGCGGGGACAGCACAGGGTGCGCTCACACCCTTCACAGCCCCGCCGGGGACAGCCCGGGCTCCCCAAACAGCCCCCACAGCCCCAGTGGGAGCAGCCAGGGATCTCCTCACACCCCCAGCGGGTCCCGCTCTGGGCTCCCCTCACGGCCTTGGCGGGAAAATGTCTGGGCCGGGCTCCTCTCACACACCCTCCTGCAGCCCCCTCAGTCGCTGTTAAAAAAAAAAAAAACAACCTACAATAAAACCCACGTTTTTAAATTAGAATAATTCATTTTAAAAGAGCATTACTACATTCACCTCCACCTTGCAAGCATCACTGTGCTACCCTGAGCACATTTCTACTTGCACCTCACAGGCGTGATTCACTGATAAGGTCCAAGATCCGTTGAAAATACATTGCTTGGGTTTTTTTAAAATAACACTAGGAAGAAGAGGGATTTCTACAACCACATCCAGCTCTGTAAAGGACGAGCAGCTCCCCTGTGAATATGCACGCGTGAAAATAAAAACCTGGAACAAAGTCATAGAATCACAGAAGGGTTTGGGTTGGAAGAGACCTTAAAGCTCATCTCGTTCCACCCCCTGTCATGGGCAGGGACACCTTCCACCAGCCCAGGTTGCTCCAATAAGGGATATTCCAATATGTGACCCCAGAGGTAAAACTTACCTGGGGAGCCCGAGGAAAAGCAGGACACAGAGAGTGCAGCACTGCAAGAGTGAGGTACAAGAGCAGCATTGCACAGAAAAGCTTTCAGAAGGCAAATCCACCTTCAGACCAACCCAAATAACCAAAGTTAATTCAATTTTTAAAAAATAAAACTTACAGAAAAAATAAATATGCAAGAGCACTGCAAGAAGTGGTAAACACAGGCACAGGGTCACGCCTTTAATTTGTGTCAGGAAAGCACATGGACCATGATTTCTATCCCTTAAAGTAAGATTTCAGAAGAGGGAGAAATCTCCTTTTCCTGCAGTTGTAATATAAGTGCTTCAATTATTATTGTATCCCATTAAACTCAACAGGCTCTTCAAACTGACACTCTCCTTGGCATAGCAAGGAGAAAAAAAAATAGCATTAGAGTCCTATTATTTGGAAAGAAAGAGCAAATATTTACTGCAGGAGCTCAGTTCATCACAGAAGACTGCTATGAGGGAGCATGAGTGATTTACTGCTTTCATTATTCAAGTTAAATAAATCTCCTCCTTTCCAAGCTATTGAATGTAGAGTTATGCTGGCAGAGTGGATTACATCTGATCTATGTACCATGACAAGTACTGAAAATTGTGGGCTTCATTGCTGTATTCACCCACTCCTTCCTGAACAGGAGAAAAAAAGTGTCAATACACGGGAGCAGCCTTTGCTCTGCTCCTCAGCATAAGAAAGCAGAGAGAGCTGCTCCCGAGCTGTAATGAGTGTGGAGTCTGACTCCATGGAAACTGAGACAAACTCCTTTTAACTCTTTCAACTAAACGAGCAGGGCGTGGCGCGAGACAAAAATTTTCCTACTCATCAAGGTTTTATTTGCATACATCAGAGTTCATGACAGGCTTGCATTAATGCCAGCAGAGGCTCGGGGTTTTTTTATTATTTTTAGGCACAGGGATGAAATTCTAATCACTGTGGAAGAAACAGCCTATCTGATTCACTCTGGTTTCTGTATCTTTTGAAAATGAGGGTATTTAAATCTACTGTCATTGCCTCAGAAGAGCGAGAAGATGAGTTTCTTGCATTGCTCAGCAGATGGACAGCTCTGATACCAACCCACAGCCTTTGCTCTGGGTTTCTCTCATGCAGTTTGGGAGGCTGAGAAGCGCTACAAGAACTTAGGACAACGTTTAAGAGGTTCTGCTCCTCACTGGGATTCCTGTTATCACTTCACCGCAGCCTGCTACTCTGCACACACCACACCCCAACACAGCCAAACCCCCACAGAAAAATCTGAAAAATGAAACCCCATAGTTTCCAACCACTGCTCGAAGCACAAGGAGCTGTTTTTTTTATTTTATAGCCTGCTTGGTCTATGGACATGTCAGTAGACCCATGGAAAACTCCCCATGCAAACAAACCCTTTAAGTTCATAATTTTAACTCTGGGAAGAGCAAACCTTGTTCTATACCATCACTGGCACCAAAGGTGTCACCACAATTGTCACCTAAATTAGATACCAAAGACTTAAGTTTCTACCACGTGTTGCCAGGAAATTTAGAAACAAAAAACACAATCAATGAAGGAAAGTTTTATTTGACTTGTAATGCCCACATCCTAAGATTAAAGATATTTAAAAGAAAAAAAAATTAGCTGCAAAGAAAAAAGGAGCAAAATAAGAACAGATTTTTACACCTTTAGGAAATCAAGAAAAAAACAGGCACAAGTTTACATTCATTAGTTTCAGATATGGCAGAGGAATGTTCTACTGAAGAGGGGTAAATAAAATCCTGCTTTCCCACCTCCCTGTATGAGACAGCACAAGTCATGCTCTTCAAAGCCACACTGATCTTGTAGATAACAAGGCAGATTTTTCTTCATAATTTTTTTATTAATGTGCTTTAAAGATCCTAAAGACCCTCCTAAAGCCATTTGGCATAGTCTCTACATACATACTAAAGTACTGAGTATGTACTTTAACCACTGGTGAGGCTTGTTACAACCTCCACATAAAAAATGAAAGTCATGCATATTTAAAATTCTGTTTAAGCATCAGAAACTTACTGAGGGATTTTATTTCAGAGCTGCTAAGCCACTTTAATTCCCCATCAGTGTTAAAATCTCGCAAGAGTCAGCCCAGACTGATTTAACCCCTTGAGAATAAGGGTTCATCATAAAAAAAGGCAAATGTCTCATCTCTAGGGATTCTACCTGAATATGTGTCTCTGCTACTAATGCTGAAGAATTTCCTTTGCCAAACACAATATGCTGGGGAAAGGGGGATCTCAGGGATTTCTGGGGATCTCAGGGATTTCTGGGGATCTCAGAAAGTCAGAGGGCAGGCAGGTGTTCTGTCATAACCTTTCACTCTACCCAGCAAAATCAGTGAGTCCAAGACTCACCATTTGGGCTGAGCCCTGCTCTGGGATCAAAGGAAGCAGCCAAGCCCCTGCTCAGGGTTGGATCCAAAGGAGCTGAATCCAGCAGGTGTGACCACCACTCCGGAGGCCCAGGAGAGCTTCTTCCACAGGAATAACTCCTCTGAACCCACTGATCCTTGCAATTCCCTCCAGAGGCTGCAAACATCTCTCTGCCTTTCCTCTCGAGCTACACTGGGACTGGGGAGGGACAAAGAGCAGCAGTGAAATGAAACATCCATCCCAGTAAAGATAAAACCAGTTTGTCTCGGCAGACAACCTTGGCTGGGGCAGGGCCCTGTGGGCAGAGAGGGACAACTTAACGCTCAAGAAGCTGCAGAAGTTTCCAAGGCAGAGTCCTCTTTACCTTCACTGGGAGGGCAGCAGTGCCCTACTTGCAATAAGGGCTAAGGAAAAGAAAAGCATCAAGCTGTAATAAAACAGTCTTTGTTCACTGGATTGATTAGGAATTTACAATTTCTCAGCTTAAAAAGCCACAGTGCAAGTTAGTGTTTGCTTCAAGGGGACCCTGCTTCAGCCTCCTCTGGGGCTGCAGAAAGCCCGAAGTCAGCAGCCAGTGTTCTTGTCTGTACACAAAGCAGGCAGGCTGTCTGAGCACTGAGGCCAAAAGACACTCAAAACAGTAAATAAATACACATAAAACAACTCTAAAAATGAGCATTTAACAGCACTGATTGTTTAGAATTACAATCCGTCTTGTTACATTAATCTTCACATTTTAGCATCTTTTTAACCACTATACAGAAGCTGCTGAAGTGACTCTTTCTTCTAACCAGCCATACCAGAGCACAAAGCACAATAACTTTTTCTTTTTTTTTTTTCTGCAGTGTAACTTGCTTTCACAATATACCATCCTTTTGAATCACAGTTTACATGTAGCAGGCATGTCGTGCTAATTGTCCTCTGTTTCTCCTCATCCTGCACACTGCCTCAGGAGCAAGACACCTCAGAGACCTTTCCTAGTTTAAGCTGCTGTCTCTTAAATCCTTCTCATAAGTTTATTCCGTGCAGCCTCACTTGGGGCAGCTGCTCCTCATTTCTGCCTCAGCATTGTCCTGTTTATTGCATTAATCTGGTTTCCAGGATAAGCCCCATCAGCCTGATGTGCTTACAGAGCACCAGATGTTACGTGCTCTACACTTACCCTCTTGCAAACATCTCAGGAGCACTGCAGGGAACCACAGAATGTGTCAGGTTGGAAGGGACCGCAGTGGGTCATCTGGTCCCACCTCCCTGCTCGAGCAGGGTGACCCCAGAGCACGTGGCACAGCACATTTATCTGCTCCTTTTACATCCTCCTGTTTGCTTTTTTTCTCTGTTTACTTCCTACCTGCTTTTACCAGCAGAATCCACACTGGATATCTGAAGAGAGACAAGAAGTTTGTATTCTCCAAGCCCATGCACTGACTTTCCACTCATATGGAAATTCCAGATTCTTACTTTTTTTTTTTTTTTCCCCTTGCAAAAATATGGCTGGATAAGACTTGTGTCTTTTACCTGGAACAGAACAAGGGGTACCCAATCTGCCTGGAACAAACACAGTGAATCTCATGTTTTTGTGGAAGTCCTGAAGACCTCCCCATTCCAACGGTGGGACTTGGAGCTTTACGTGACCTGAAACAGGAGGAAGCACAGGCTGGACCTCAACTTCATCTGTGACACTGCACTCAGGGGACTCAGCAAATCACTGCAAACCTCACACAAAAGCCAGGACTGCCTCAAGTCAAGAGCATGAAGCTGAGTCAGGGGAGGTTTAGGTTGGGTATTAGGAAAAGGTTCTTCCCCCCACAGGGAGGTTGGGCATTGGAACAGGCTGCCCAGGGAAGTGGTCACAGCACCAAGCCTGTCTGAGTCCAAGGAGCGTTTGGACAACGCTCCCAGGCACAGGACGGGATTCTTGGGGTGTCCTGTGCATGGCCGGGGGTTGGACTCGATGATCCTGATGAGTCCCTTCCAACTCAGCATATTCCGTGATTCTGCAAGTCCAGCACAACCCACTGCTGCTGTCCCACACGAGTGTCCAACTCAGCTCACATCCCAGAGCAGCCAGATTCCAGGTGCTGGCCATGCAGTCGGGATCACAGCATTTGAGGGGATCCAACCCCAGCAGAACCACATCATACACACACACACACACCCCTTCCATCATCACCCAAAACTATGCTCTGTTTGTTAGGACTGACAGACTACCCAGAGTCATTTCCTCTCTAGAAGCTTGACCCCAGCTCTCCAACTATCTGCACACACAAGCCCTTTTGTGCACACATCCACCCTCCACACCTCTCACCACCTTGTGCATAACAGCAATAGGCACCACGTTGCACTGTTTGTACACACCCCACAGCTCCTACCCAGCAAACACCTGCTGCTGGCTCATCCTGAAATCCAGCAAGGCACTTGGAGGGATGGTAAACACTTTGTGCACGCACAGGCAGGATGCAAATCCCCTCCTCACGCTAACTTGCCTTGGGGGCAAGCACAGACCTCAGCAACCTCCTAAGCAAAGATTACCACAGCACAGACCCTGTCATCTGGTCTGCAAAGAGCAGCAACACCAAGGGAACAGACCAACTTCCCTAGAGCTTCAGAACTGCAGTGCTTTACAGTGCTTTACAGAACTATTTCTTCCTCCCTAGGAAAGAAATCTTCACTAGTCACATTGCATGTGTTAACACAGGGAAGGTAAAAACCAGCAGTAATTAATGTCTGTAGGAACACAGCAGAGAGGAACAGTAACAAAAATCCCGAAGCAAGCAAAGCCTCCTTGAGAAGCTAATGGTCAAATGGAGAATTTGCTAATGACATTCCTGTTCCCACACCGTAAACATCAGGGATTACCTCCCAGGAAACACACACAGGCAAAACAGGAACGTACGTTTGCCCTACTCGAGAGAATGGGCAAAAATCTGGGCCCAGGCAGTTCAGGACACGATGTATATATGACACACTAAAAGTAATAATAATAAAAAGAACAGGAAGGTGGAACAAAGAAGAAATTCAAACCATAAGCTGGCAAGTGGTCCTGGATCCATCCCAGCAAACACTACTGGCTACAAAAAGCAGAAGGTCCCGCCAGGTGTGTCGAGACAGTCTCGCTGCCACCGCTGCACGCTGTAGGTAGTTTTATCCGCCTCTGGGAGGAAAAGGTCCTTGTACAAAAAGCGTTTTCCTCCCCTGACATCAGATGAGCTCCTCCTTCAGCGGCTCTGTGTCCCCAGGGAGCGTGCCGTTCATCTCCGGGGAGCTCTCGGTGCCCAGGTATCCCAAGAGGATCTCGCTGCGCCGCCGCGACAGCTGCAGGATGTCTTCTGCCAGCAGCTGCACCGTCGTGTACCTCACATTGTCGAAGTCAAACATGTCCTTCAGATACTGCACTATCTGGTGCTGCAAAGTAAAGGGAAGGTTTACAGTCAGGCAACCTCCTTCCACCTACCAGCACCTGGGCTGCAGCAAGCAGAGAACCCCATGAGGAATTCTGCACATGGGCCATCCAAGCAAAGACCTGCATCAGGCTGGTGGATAGATCCCCTCATGCCTCTGGAACAGGAGGGCAGAGCTCCTGAAGCCAGGGAAGCAATGCTGATGTCCATGGCAATATCCATGCAGGCATTTAATGGATGCAACACATTCTCATGTCTCACGTCTCCCAACACTATCAACCAGAACAAGAGGATTCAGGCTTTAAGATCTAATATAAGATCCCCTGTCCTCTTAGACAAAATATTCTTTCAGCATATGCACTCCATAATCTTTTCCAATACTGATGGTATAAATTGATCTCATCACACATTTTTGCTGTCAGCTATGGTAAATTCTGCCGGGAATCCTTATCAACCTGAATTCAGCAGTCTGCATCTCAAATCCAAGTGACTTTTAAAAGGCTTTTTGCACAGAGTTGAGCTTCTTAACGCCACATCAGTCACCAGGAGCACACACCTGCAGCTCTAAGCCAGCAGACAGGAGTCCCACACAGCCCAGGCACAGAAAAGCCACCTTACCTTGAAGAAACTGCAGACTTCAGACAGCTGCTGCTTGGGTCCCAGGAAACCAAAGGCTAGAACAGGACTGACATGCTCCGATACGGAGTAGAAATGAGAGATAAAGCCATCTGGTACCTGCCACAGGGAAGGCAAGAATTGGTTGGTCTTCATTCTCAGACAGAATTAGCAGCTTATTCCGTATCAGCCAACAAATTGCCTGCCAGAAAGCGCTGAACTTCAGTAACTGAAGTTAAGAGCTATTAGGAACATCTCCTCCTGCAGAACTAAATTTATCTTCTAGATCCCTTGAAGGATGACTATCTTCATGTTTTAAAACTACTATTTCAAGAGGAAAATAAAGAGAAGAAAATGAAAAGCAACCACCAGCCAGCCTTTATATCCTCTATTTAAAATCTCCAGCCCAAGCCAGGGAAGGAGGTACAAATATCCAAGCCAGAGCTACTGCAGGACAGCACCAGCACAGCTTCCAGCACTCTCATTTCTCTTTGTGCCACCTCCCAGGGCAATCCTTGTGGTACCAGCTGGCTGTGGGACGAGGCTGAAAACCTGCCAGAGGCCACAGGCCCTGGGGCAGAACTGGGGTTGTGAAGTCGTGGCTTCCTGTTCCCCCGGTCCATGAGTTCATCCACTGGGATACTTTGGGAAGTCACAGATTTAAGTGAAACTCATCAGGTAATAACTAGTTAGCATCAGTGCTGGGGAGTGGAGAAGTGGAGAGGGTGAACATTCCTTGCTCACATTAAGAAAAAGGGAGAATAAAGTCCAACTGACACAGTAAAATACTGGTATGGCACTGGAGCAGTGACAAAGGACCCCAGTGCTCTAAAGCGTCACAAAGAATGTGACTCAGTTCAGTCTTCTACCACTTAAGATTTTATATTTTGTCAAGATCTAGGTGTTCTCCTTCCATCTTCAAATACATTTGATTCTTTCCCTTTTAATTCATTTTGCTTACCATCAGAAGCCTCCTTTTTGCTTTCAGAACTGACCAGCAGGCAGTTGCCAGAGCCTACGATAAGCAGAGAGACTATCAGTTACTGGGATTAAATTAAAAAAAAAAAAACAAAGTTTACCAACACACTGCCATCCAAACATCAAAGCAGTGGCCCTTTTGTGCCAACAACTCTAAAATGACAAAACTGAAGTGAACTCGTAGCAGATTTAGCCGCTCCAGATCCATTCCAGAGAAGCCGAAGGGTTTTTAAGATTTCTGATATGATCTGACATAGTTGCCCAACAGCCCACGATCCACTGTAAACAGACAGCTGTTAAAAGGTGCCTCCCAACCATCTTATCAAACTTAAACGTGCAGCTGGGGGCCAGGGCTAGAGGGAATCACTGCAATTTGAGCTTCAGCGTCTGGTGAGGTACAACCAGAATAAATGGCCACGTGCTAACACACATATTTTTCCCTACATTTTGATCCTCTTACTCTCATTCATAAAAATACGTGTTGTCATCTTCTAACATCTCCATGGCATCGCTGATAAAGGCCCCCCAAAGCAATAAAGTCGGGTTGCCAACGAGATGTTTCCAAAACAAGGAAGGCTTTCCCGTTAAACAATTTCCATGTACCAGCAGACGGTTGTTCAGAGCTCCAGGAAAGCACAGTACTTATAAAGGGAGAATTCAGCTCAGCCAGAGCTGAAGGTTATGAAGCAGATGAGGTTATGCTCTTTTCTAGCCCTGGCAGTGAGGTCTCAGGCTCAGCACAAGCACTCCCCCTGTTTCACACACCGTCTCCTTGAAGCTGTCGGAGAGCCAGCGGTTGCGCAGCACGGCCAGCACGGAGGAGGGCGGGTTCTCCAGGTCCTCAAAGGCATCCATGAGGATGAAGTCCAGCACAATATCAAAGAAACTCATGCACACCACCTGTCAAAGGAGCAGAACAGTCTGTAAAGGAAACAGGTTTAAAAAAAAAAAAAAAAAAGAGAGAGGCTTTACGCTTTTGGTTTGGCGCAACAAAATGCAGCTGATGTCAAGGTAATTATATTTCAGCAGCAGCTCTTTCACTCCTGGGCCATTCCTACATATCCATTACCACAGAATCATAGGAGTGTTTGGGTTGGAAAGGACCTTAAAGATCATCCAGTTCCATCCCGTGCCATGGGCAGGGACACCTTCCACTATCCTGGGTTACTCAGAGCCCCTTCCAGCCTGGCCCTGAACACCTCCAGGAATGGGGAGTCCACAACCTCTCTGGGCAACAATTATCTTCCAACTCCTCTGCAACTCTGCAAAGATAATGTCTTTACCAACCCCTCTTCCCTCCAGCTCCTGCTGAGTAGTCGGCCAGGTCTCTTGTTTCATTGCGTAACGCAGCATCTCCTCGTAGCTTTCCAGGAAAGCTTTGGGGTTCTGGGAGAGCAGAGAAACAAAACACTTCAGAAGGTGCAACAGCTGTGGGCACACTTCAGCAAAGTTTGCCTACTCTGTTTTGAGCTATCATCAACATCACAACAGTCACCAGCAAGCAGATGAAATGTTCTTCCAACACACTGGGCAAACTCTAGGCTGGGATGGAGGGACAAGTGTTCCCGTGCTCGAGACACAGCTTAGTTGTTAAACAAACTTCCTACCTTTTCAGCCTTTGTCATCAGTCCTATCACCATCTGCTTCCCAACCTCCCCAAAAAACAGTTGATTGCTTTCATCCTCCAGCAGCTCCTGCAGAGGGAACACAGAAGCTGTGTGAGCGCCTGCCCCCCACACAAATCCTGAGCTGGAAGGAAAAAAAGGGACAGGACACGAAGCAGTGCAAAGCTGCACACACCACTGTTGTTAACCTTTAATAAGCTGGAGTCTAGAAAACAAAACTGCTCCCTCCAGGAAGCGAGTTTAAAATTAGGCTGAAAGGCTGGAATTGTCAAGAACACTGGAAGCTGCTGTTCAGGCTCCATGCACTGCCAGGGGATCCTCTCTCTTTCCAAATCAAATTGATCAGAATGGGATTGCAGAATTAAGCAACGGGAGTTTGGGCTGGAGGAGAAGGTGCTCCCACCTGCCATGGAAACCTGGGAGCCTGGAGCTGTTCTCACCTGGAATGCCTGCCTGACACAGTGCAGCTTCGCCAGGAAATCCTGGTCACTGTAGCAGCCAAGGAGCTCCGTCCTAGAGGGAGAGAGAAAGGATTGTATGAATTCCAGGACTCCTGATGTTAGTGTTCTTACCAACTATTGGTCCCCTAAAACAAAAAAAAATTAATTCCCAGTCTGTGCATAGGAGAAAGGAAAAACCACATTCCCTTTGTCCAGCTCCCTGGGGAGGAGGAGAGAACAACCTCTGCCAGGCTGTTACAGTGCAGTGTCCCAGAACAGTCACATTCCCATTACTAACTTCCCAGGACAATTACTCTTTCTTAACACGCATGTCCTAAAATCTGGGGCTAATTCCCTGGGAAGCCCAAACCAGCAGGAAGGATGCTGTGAATTTAGGACCCCAGAGGGTTTCCCTGGTTATGGGGCTGCTCAAAGGCAGATGATGTGCTGACACTGCCCAAAGGAGCCTCGACACAAGCTGGCCCCTCACCTCAGCGTCCGGCACGCCACCTTCCCTTCCTTCACCAGCTGCAGGGCTTCTTCATAGGCTGCCACTGGCCTGGAGAGGTGGAACGGCATTTCCTCAAAGGGGAGAGAGTCAAAGAGCTGCAGAGGTGGCAGGAGACGTGGGGAGAGCAAAATGAACTTGTTAAATACTGGCAAACACTCAGAGACCGCACGCAAGCGAGGTGGGCCCGCTGCGTAGAATCGCAGAATCTTCAGCTGGCAAAGTTTGTCAGTGCCAATTATTTCAGGCAAAGATATTTCTTTTCCCACCAAAAGCTGTCTCAGCTCTGACACAGCTCGATATTCCCTAAAATTTACACAGCCAAGCCACCTTAGGTTAGATAACAGTACTTTCCTAGCTGTTATGGTACATTTTCTACGGGAGAAGATGGAAGATGATATAGAAGTGCTGGTTGGAACAGCCTGCACCACCCCCCTAATTAAAAAGCTTTTCCTAACATCCATCATGAACCCCCCAGCTTGGGGCTGTTGCTCTGAGTTTTTATCATCTCCCTCTACCCAGATGTGTCTGGCTCTGCTGCCTCTGTGCCTTCCCTCCAAGCAGCTGGAGTGTGGCACAGCTGGCACTGAAGTCACCTCTGCTGCAGAGAAGAAGGAATCCTCCGAAGCTGAGCTGTCCTCATCATCCGTCCGGAGCCGCAGCGATCCATCCAACGGGAGCATTAAAGTCTTCTCTGCAGGAGGGAGAGAACCTGGATGTGCTGGAGTTCATGGACTACCATTCCTCTCTGCTCCTTTGCTCTCTGCCACCCCCACAAGCAGCCCTGTGTGACTCCTCCACTGCCTGGCTTACAGCAAAGACATAAAACCAGACAAAACCCTGCCATTTGAATGCATCTCCACCCCAGGTGCCATACCCAGATCCAGCAGGATGCTGTCTGAGGGGAGGGAGGATCCAAACTCTTCCTGGAGGTGGTAGGCTCGGTGCAGGAGGGTCTCCAGCTTCTCAGCAAACTCCCTTCTCTGGGACTCCTCCTTGAACGTACAGAAATGCCACCCTTAGTTAGCCAGCTGGGCAGGGACAGATTGACAGCACGGAAGATGGGAGGGAATTTTCAGTAAAAATGGGATTTACAGTTTGCGGATTAAATTATTAAAAATAAAAGGAGAGAGGAGTCATTAATCCTACAATGCAGCTAATAATGCACAGGGGAGAGAAGCTTCTACACAGCCTATTCAAACCCGCTGGCTTTTGAGCTTCACAATTCTGTTTTCCTGTTGAAAAAGGGAGAAAGAACTAAAGAACTTTAACCTGCCATCCAGAAAAACGGGTATTTTAATGAGTTACAGAGCACTTAATTCTCCTGACTTGTGACTTTAGCCTAATTTCAAGAGGAACTCACATCAGGAAGCCTGTGTGGAATGTAACAGAGTATCCAGAACTGGATAACTGGATAACAGAGTAAGAGTCCTTGGATTAAGGCATAAGCAAAGTTTGCTGTGAGCAACACAGGAGGATAGGAAAAAAAAAAAAAAGGAGAAAAATAAGACTTACACAACATCCTGCCTTCATGCCCCTGTGTTTGCATGAGTATCTCACCCAGTAGACAGAAGCATTAACAAGAAGCACAAAATCTATTTTGATAAGGAATCAACTGGTTTTTAAGGCAGTTTCAGAAATCCTACAGGACTCTTCAAGGAGAGCCAACAACAGCAGAATCCAGATTTGACTTGGATAAACATTACCCAGCACAAAAGGCAAACGTCCCACGGATTTACTACACCAGGCCCTGTTTATAAGGGACGGGGAAGACTTTTTCCAGTGAGAACTGGAGATCTGGGAGTGCAGCAACTTCCACAGTCCTGAGCTGCTGCGGCAGCTCTTTTTAGCTTTGTGGCTGTCAATGAGACATTCTAGTTTGGACCTCCTCTTATCCCAGGTCTTCCCTGCATAATCCTCAAGGCCAAGACAGCAAGGGGCTGCCCTAAAATACTGGAATTCCCAGGAATCCCAGTTGATTCATCCCCAGGAAGTGACAGTGACTGTCAAGTTCTCCACTTTCAAAAGCATTAAAAAACGACAGAGGCAGCACTGGCAGGCAAAGCAGTGCTGAGTTCATCCCAGCCTTTTCCTACCACAGGCTCTGCCATGGGAAGACACGAGTGACAGTGAGTGACATGAGGCTGGAAGGTGGGTAGGAAAGCTGGGGAATGCGGGGGCGAGACGTATTAAAAAGAGAAAGAAATAAAAAACACCCACTCCCCGTTGCATAAGGAAGCTGCCGATGCAGACAGCTCTTAAACAGAGTCTGGCCCGACTCTGCCCTCAATTTGCTGTCCTTTTAACCTCCCACTAATTACTCCTTCCAGCAGCCAGGCTGGCCTTTCAGCATGTTCCCCAGTTAGCCACTGCAAGGGACCTACCTCTGAAATGTTCTCAGATATGCTCTCCTGCTGTTTCCTGCTGTCCCAGGGCACAGGGGTGCTGGTACTGGCACTGTCCCTCTGCCTGATGCTCAGTGCCTGTTCCCATTTCTGCAGGGCCTCCTCAAACAGTTCCATGCCTGGAAATGCAACCAAATACCAGCTGTGAGAGTCCCAGGCCACTCAGGAACAGAGGTACAGGATGAGTCTTTGCTCACTCAGGCAATCCAGCAAAGAGGGAAATGTCTCCCCAGCTGAAAGGATAAAAGCATTTCTTTCCCAACATGGTTTGTTTTGGATTAAAGCTGAGGAGAACATCCCCAAATCGGTTAAAACATCAGCCATGTTACTTCCAAAATACTTCGAAAATACTGTTCTCTGCACAAGATGGGCCTGTTGCTCGAGAACAGTTTTTTGGAAGTAAATTACTGACAAAAGAGATAAATGTATTTTTAGGAGAAGATGGGATTTTTATAACTAACAAGTGACTGAGTTGAAGTTGGGAACGTGAGAGAGCTTCCTGTCAGAGCTCTGCATTGAGCTGCTGGTGCTCTGTGGCAATTCCCACTCTCTCCTTGCTCCCACAGCCAGGGTGATTGCTCCCACATCACCAGGGGGATGCCCCCCTTGTGCTTGCTTACCTTGAACATAGAGGCTTTCTGCACTGGCATCACCCATGGCTCCAGCATCTCCCATTGCCTGGGGGTCCCACATTCCTGCGGGTGTTGGACTGGAGGAGTTGACAGCCACCATCTGCAGGGAGGGAGCAGAGGGCACTAAGCTGAATTCTCTCCAAAGGCCACACAAACACCACCACCAGTTCAGTTTTAACAAAAAGGCATTTTCCTTCCCCACATGTGCCCTTGTGCTTCCTGTATTGGTGCTCCCTTGCCTGGAAAGGGGGAGATATCAAGGGTTACTGCCCTCCCCCTGCCTGGGAAACGTGCTCAGGAGGGGAGGCGAGGTGAGAATTCCTGCCCTTCTCCACCCTGCACCACAGTGGTGCCTTTGAAAGCACAGAAAGTTGGGTGGGAAATACCTTCCCAACCGATTTATGCTGAAGCCTCATTAGGAAACCTGAGCTGTACAGTGATGAGCACGAGCAGGAGAGCACTGATGGAGGTGACAGCCTGGGAAAGCTCCACAGCAATCACTACCAAGGCACCAGGATTTTGATGGAGAGCTCGTGTCAGCTCCAGCTCTCTGTACAAAAACCACTGGAAGTGGGGGGGAAACAACCACAGTCCAAACAAAGGAACAGGTTCCCAGCAAAATGACAGCTGAGGAACCCCCAGCGGGCAAGGAGAATCCTCGCTCTTCTCTTCATTACCTCCCTCTTCAGGGAGGGCTGAGCACTACAATCCACACAGCAAAGTGGCAGCTTTGTCCAATTTCCCACCAGGGCATCAATGTCTCCTGAAGTCTGACTCAGTGAAGTGCTGGGTTCAACATTATCCGTGATCAGTGTTTGCATGGGGCTTAGGGAAACTTGAGCCTGGTGCCAGAAAAAAGCTGCAATAATCAGCTCACAGATGAATTCTCCATTGACTGATTCCTGTGAAGTGTTAATAAATCCCTTTGAGATCCAGACCTGCGAAACATCAGTTCACTGGATGGCAAAGAGGAGCCCCAGGAAGCAGATGAGACCACAGGTAAAACCTGCAGCTGTGGAAAGGATGAGCTGTTTGTCCATCAAGGAACATGAAAATCAGTAAAGAACAGTGTCACAGACTCAGCTCCCACACAGTGAAGGGGGTATGGGAACAGACCCCTCCCTGAGGGAATATTCCCCACCCAGGCACCAGCAGTGGAAAAAGGAATTCAGATAGGTTTTTTTTATCTAAAGAGAAACAGACTTCAGCAATACAAAACCTGAGCAGCATCTGTGGGAATGGAGAAGCCGTGGGGGAATTAAATGGATGTGAAAGTCCCCGCAGGGGGAACAAGGCCAGAGCCTGGTCCTGGCTGACATGTCCCATCCCATCCCAGTTCCCCAGGGAATGCTGGAGCAGGGCTGTGCCAGCACTGCCGCCTGCTGGAGACACGCTTGGGACCACATAAGCAACTTCTGATGCTTTAACTAAACACAGCAGTGCCTGCACATCCTGCAGGTGCTGGTGCCCAACAGATCCCTTCCTTCCAAGGGGTGATTTTTCCCTCTCCTACCCCAGCAGTGCCAACCAGGCTCCGAGACAAGGAGGGTTTCACCATCACAGAACTTCACCTGTGCCCCTGCTGCTCCAACAGAACTTGAGGCTCTGAGCAATGGGGATGTAAAACAGGTCTTGAAGCCGCAAACACTTCCATTTTGAATCTCACAAGAGGTGGATATAAACACTGATGGCTCCTCCTGTCTGGCTAAGCCTGAATTACCTGTATTTATAGGCTGCTTTGGGCTGTGGAGGAGGTAGAATGACAAGGCTGTGTTCTAAGCTGTTTCCTGAACAGAGCTATCAGATTTTGGTAGTCAATTTGGTTTTGACAACAAAGCAACCTGTGATCAGCCCCAGCACTGGAGGGCTGTGCTGGCACAGGGGCTGCTGGGCCACCCAAACCCCCACTATGGAGGGAAGCAAACACTGCTTTGAGAACCAGCAACAATCCAACCTCACTCCTCCAGGGGGTCACAGGATCTGTGCCCATGTCCCACAGGGAAGTCTCTCCTGCAACTCCTCGTTGGCCAAAGAACTGGGGCGTTCCCTGGAGTTCTTGGCCACAGGAAGTTGCTGCTCTGGTTTCACAGGGGGAACTCCAGACACTCAGTGCAAGGTTAATGATGGATCCCGCCCTGCAATTACTCTGTAACCTGTTCTGCTCCAAAGGCTTTGGCATTTTCCACTGGCCAGCACAAGCCCAAGGACTTGGTGATCTCGTTACAGGTCTGTGCACTCGCATCTCCCAGCCCTGCCAAGAAGGTCCTTACCGAGGTGAGGCTGTGGGAGGAACTGGAATGTTTGCTGGGCTCAATGGAGGAAATCCCGCTGAGGGTGTCATTGCTCTTGCTGCCAGGACTCTGGACTCTCCTGCTGGAGTAGCCTGCAGTTGGGAAGGCCACACAAAAACAGGATTTTAGGCTCAGGTAATTCGAGCCGTGAACAGGGAAGGGAACATCACCCTGTCCAGTGTGACTATGAATGGGCAAAGCAGCATCCAATATCTAAAAATAAGTCATGGATCTCCTCTATGCCCTGTTTTGCTACAAAACACTAAGAAAACTGCTGTCAGTGGGAAGCTGAAGCTGAGGAATGAATTCACTGCTTATGGATAGCAAGAGGCAAGTAGAAAGAACCAGGTAAAAACTCCTCCACCTTCCCCCTGGCCAGGCAGAGAACAGACATTGCTCCCTTGGTTATTATTAAAAGTGCCTAAAGATTTTCATACGCTTCACAACCCAAATCCTTAATCCCTAAAGTGCTTTGCTGAGGACTTTGGCCAGTTTTACTCCAAAAATCAAGCAAGTAAAGAAGCTGCCCAAGGTCCAGGAGCTGCCACAGACCTGGACAAACACTCCTGACCTCCCAGCCCAGCCCAGGCCACCCTCCCCTCCCCAGAGCTCAGCACAGGACCCTGGGTGAGGCGTCACATTGGCATCACCAGATCAATATGCAGCCAGGTCACCCTGTGCCTGCTCATTATTATCAGGGAAAGCCACAGGCTGTCTGCAGGAAAGGGGATGGGAACCACAAACCTTGGTGAAAACCTCAGTGCCACCTTTTTGTCCCCTAAGGACTTTGAGCTCAGGGTCTGTCCCTCCCCTCCCCAGACTCTTGTGCTCATGGCACTGAACTTGAGGCTTCTCATTTCATTCTGCATCGAAGCCCCACACAAATGCCTTTGGCTTTCCCATCAGGAACTTCCCGTGCCTCCCTGAGCACCCTCACAGATGGAATTGGGGGGAGGGGGGTTTCCCTTCTTGCAAGGCTGACCTTTCTTCACAGAGGAGACCCTTCTGGTTGGCAGGATGGGCACTGTGATCCCTCCTGGTTTAAATCCACATTTCTCGGGAGCGATTTGCTTCTTCCGCCGGCGCCGGCGCTTCAGCTGATGAGCCGCAAGAGCCAAGGCAACTGTCCCCAGGGCTGTGGCAAACAGCACCTTCCTCAGGCCTGGAGAGAGTCTCAGCTGAGAGAACACAGACTTGGAACACAAGAGATAGGAAAGAGCCACAGTGAAAATCCAATTCCACCACCTTTTTTTTTTCAAAAAAAAAAAAAAAAATACAGCGTTAAACACGAGATACCTTGGCTTTCCCCTCCCACCCACAGGCAGCGCCTGCCACGCAACCGAGACTCAGCAGCAGAGAAACTGCGCAGCGTCATTTTGACAGGACCCGGAGAACTTGGTCTCCATCCTCGTTACCACAACACGCTGCCAAATCTGCACACAGCCCTAGCAGATGCAATCCCGGTTACCCAAAACAAGCTTTGAAACCCTGGCGTGCTTTATAAAGCTGAGCTTTATTGCTCCGAGCGTTGCATCGCTACAAGTGGGAAATATGTTACTCTTCTTTCAAAGAAAGGTCTTTTTTTAGCACTGCTGATGAAGAGAGAGGTTGAACTCAGGAGGGATGTGGGAAGAGCTTCTCTCCCCTCTTCAAGCCCACCCTGAGGAACTTTCTTCCACCAGCCCAAACTCTCCCAACAATTCTTCCAAACCCTCAAACTGCAAACCCCCAGCGCCACCCCCACTGTGCCTCCATCCCTCACAACCCCACAGAGCAAACCCAAGGGCTGGGAAGGGAAAGCCTTTTGTTGTACCTGCCCAAAAGTCGTGTAAACAAACACGGGGATCTCTGCCACGGTCATGGCCAAGGCCTGCATGATGGACATTCCCTCTGTCCTCCTAAATGCCATGTCTGCACCGGGACCTTGGCACCTCTCGGAGCTGCCGAGGGGAAGGGCACTTGTGGGGGTTGTGGGAGCTGCTCACAAGGGAATCCAGCTTCTCTCTGGCGTCTGGCTCCAAGTCCTGGGGTTGGCCTTCATCCAGCAGTCCCCGTCCTGTGGGAAGAGGGGAAAAATTGGGTGAGTGAGGGACACACGGGGCCTGCCCCTCCTTGTACTGCACTTCACAAACCACACACCAGCTCCCTTGGAGCAGAAGTGCCCAGCAGGAGATCCAAACCATCTTCTCACCAACAGCAGCAATTCCTTTGCTTCTCCTACCCACAGGGGCACATTCCCAAACTGCTCTGCAGCAGCAGCAACACGCTGGGATTTGATACCTGCCAGAGATTTCTACACACACCAGAGCTGGCTGCACGTGGCTGGGGGGATTTTGTTTGCAGTTCCCATATAAAAAAAAAACCAAACCACCCCAATTATTACAAATAACAACAGGCACGTTTTCACTGTCAAAACTCTGCTTTCCGTTCATCACAGCCCTGCTTCAGAGGCACCAAGGGGCGTCTGACCAGGACTTCACTCAGAGTTCTGCCGGGAGCTGGGCCGGAGGGATGTGCTCAAGGACAGAGCTACAGAGAGCACTGATGTGTGACCCCAGAGCTGCGTGACGAACCCCTGCCCCTGCCCGACCACCCCCTCGCCCCCCACTGCCCAAACCCGCTCTGGGAGCACAGCAGGGAATGGTCCGAAGGCAGGGGGAGCGCACAGGGACCAGGCACGGGCTCCCCACAAGGTTAAACACAACGCTCCGGCCACAGCGCAGCTGAGAAGAGCCAAGTGCGAGAGAACCCGGGCACAGCAAACAGCCTTGGGGTCACCGCATGCCGGGAGCGCCTCGGCCCGCGCATCCCCCCAGCCCCGCTCCACAACACCCCGGTGCGGGGAGCGCCCCGCGGGACCCCCCGCACCCGCACTGCAGCACTCGGGGCCCCGCCAACGCTCCCGCGGAGCATCCCCGCACCCCCGCATCCCGCGCACCCCCGAGCATCTCCCCCGCGGCACCCCCCGCACCCCCCTGCCCGGCTCCACCCGGCCGGCCCCCTCTCCTTTCTCCCCCCACCTCTCCCCGGCCGTGGCGCTGCCCGTCGAGCAGGGCAGGGCAGGCCTGGAGAGACGCCCCACTCACCGCTGCGGGGGGTGTGCGGACCCCTCTGGCCGGGCGGGCCCGGCCGCCCGCCATGGCCGCGGAAGGGCAGCGTCTCCTTCCCCCGCGCCGCAGCCCCCCCACGAGGGGGCGGGGTCTCCGTGAGGCCACGCCCCCCAAAGCGCCCTCCCGGCCAATGGGAGCGCGCCCTGCTCGGGGGATGCGGCGGCGAAGCGCGAGGGGCAGGGGGCGGTGCGGCCCGGCGCGAGCGGCCATTGGCACGCGCTGACAGTTCCCCTCCCTTAAAGCGGCCGCACCCGCCGCGCCGTTGAGCGGGGTGGGGGACGGACCCCGCGGCTGAAACAGCCCCTTTGAAGAGGCGCGGGGCCGGCGCTATAAAAGGCGGCGGCGCGGCGGGCGCGGTGACAGCGGGGGCGCGGCGCGGCCGGGGCGGCTCCGCGGCCGACATGGAGTTCAACGTGAAGAAACTGGCGTCGGACGCCGGGGTTTTCTTCTCCCGCGCCATGCAGGTGAGGGGAGCAGGGGCGCCATGGCAACGGCGGGGCGGGCGGAGGGGGAAGGACCCGCGGGTGCAGGCCTGGACAGGGCCGGGGAGGGGTGAGAGGGGGAGATCGGGGATGGGTGGGCCTGTCTGGCTGAGCCGCAGCCCCCCGGAGCATCCCTCGCAGAGGCACCACCCCGGGAGGGTCCCGAGGGAACAGTGCCGGGGATGATGCTGAGCAGGGACGCGAGTGCGGGCGGACGCTGTACCTGAGGGTTGCTGTTGTTTAAGAGAAGCTGATCTCAGCTGCTGTTGTCCGTGCCCACACCCACCGGGAAAGGCTGGCAGAGCTCTGGAACAGGATGCCCAGGGAGGGCGAGGAGTCTCCATCTCTGGACACATCCTGAACCCTCCCGGTTCCTGTGACACCTGCTCCAGGTGACGCTGCCTCGGGGCTGGACTGGGGGATCTCCAGAGTTCTCTTCCAACCCAAACCACTCAGTGGTTCTGTGAGATGCTCCCTGTCGCTGGGGGATGTGGTGAGGGTGCCTTGGAGCTGTTCTGCTCTTCAGCCCCTCAGGAGGAGCAGGAGACTCCAGGCCCTGGCAACCACTGTGCTGTTCCAAGGGATAGGATGGAGCTGCTGAGATGGAGCAGGACGGGTCTCTGTGGGCTGCTGTGGCAGCGGGATCATCCCTGGGAATGGCTGAAGCTGCACCAGGGGAGGTTTAGGCTGGGTATCAGGCAAAGTGTGGTCGGGCACTGAACAGGCTCCCCAGGGCAGTGGGCACAGCCCCAAGGCTGCCAGAGCTCCAGGAGGGTTTGGACAACGCTCTCAGGAACAGGGTGAGATTGTTGGGGTGTCTGTGCAGGGCCAGGAGTTGGACTGGATAGTTCTGGTGGATTCCTGACAACTCATGATATTCTGTGATTCACAAACTTGAGATCAGGAGCTGCTTGTGGATGAAGTGATCCTGAAGCTGTGAAGATATTTTGGTACCCCTGAGCAGCAGGTGATGAGATGGGGCTGCTGTGTGTACCCACCTCTTGGGCATAGTAATGGAAAACTGCTCTTAGTTGGGCAGGAGAGGAGAGAGAGGCAGGTCAGGACTGGTTGGGATCCTGCCTGGAAAGTGAAGTCCAGCTGGTGGCTCTGGGACTGTGCTTCTTGTGTGGGGGCTGGTAAACAAACAGAGCAGAGCTGCCTCGTTCCAGACCTTCTGTGCACTGGAGTAATTCCGGCTCTGTTGGGAACTGGTCTCCTGTAAGCAGATATCACCTCCTGTCACCATGCCAGCAAGTCATATGCCATGAAAAAGGGAGATATTAACTACAGGTGCAAAACAGGGAGCAGATGGGAGGCCCAAAGATGCCATTCTCATGCAAATGACCTTGGTAGCAGAAGAAAGGCTGTGAAGAAATTTCATGTTTAGAAGCCTTATTGTAAGTCTCTGATAAGTGTTTTTTAGCTCCAAGGCGTAGGAAGGAGACAGGCCTGGGAACAGTGTCTGCACACAGTGATTCCACAGCAAGGAGGCGTTTATAAATCGTGGCTTCAGCCTCTACACCTACTCCACTGGCTCGTACATGAATATTCATGTGCCTAATTAGAGTAGTAATTTCGTGAAACCAAGGGAGCGCTGCTGCTCGTGGACAGCGTGCAGGTGTTGGTGGAAGGAAGGAGATCACTGAGGCTGAAAAAACCTTCTTTGTGAGGTGTCATTGCTGGGGGAATTCAGCCTGTTCGTGTCCCCACGGAGTCCCCTGGAGTGGGTGAGCTCTGCCCTGTCTTCCCCCAGAGCCACAGGTGACTGCTGAGGTCTGTGTGGGCAGCAAGGGCAGGGTTTGTAGCACTCTGGAGCACTGCAGATCTTCCAGGAGGGGAGCAAGACCTGTCTAGAAAGAGCTGCTTTCTGTAGCACTGGAGATGGTTTCCCCAGCTCCAGGCATTTAACAAAGTCATGTTTTACTGGAACTGCAGCGACTGGGAGATAAATGGACTGGCCATTATGTGCTGTAGCACTCAGACAGCATTAGCTCCTGCTGTCTGCCTGAGCTGTCTGACCAGCACACAAGAGCTTCACTCCAACTGGAATTTGGGCCCAGCGAGGGGGAAATGAGGCAGAGCATGGTCAGCACAACACCCCTGGGGTGGCTCAGGGCAGGAGCAGTCCTGGTTTGAAACTTGTCAAATACAACCCAGTGCAGGTGGCTGGGTGAAGGATTTTGGACTAGGCTTGACCTTCCTCAACAAAAAACCCTCAAAACCCCACTGCTGCCTTTACATGGCTCTTCAGAGCTCAGGCATCAGTTAGCAGTGCAGACTATTCAAGCTGGGGTAGGAAGCTCTGCTACCCTGGGAGTGGGGAAGAAGGTTCTAGGCTTGGGCAGCTGCAAGGATATAGAGCTTTTGCAGGATTCAGCATCTCACCTGAGGATGTCCTGTGCTGACACTTGAACTACCAGTTGCAGCCATCAAATCCTCAGAGGGGATGCAGCACCTGCAGACAGACTTCAGACAGGTCACTGTTCATCTTCACTGAAGAAAGGCCATTCTCTTTGATCAGCTGCACCTTCCAGTTACCAGAGAGTGGGGCTGATCCCAAACCCCAGCAGAGGAAGCTCTGTGGCAACACACTGGGTGTCTCTGTTCTAAGACAGGCTGCAAGCCAGGCTCTCTCAGGGAGGTCTGGAAATAATTGTAGGTGTCTGTCTTTTATCAGTTTTGATGGAAATGGCTCTGGGTGAAAGTGTGAGTACAGCTCGTGGGCGCTTATCGCACTGCTAATGTCATTACTGTAGCAACTAGAGGTTGGCTTTACCCTGAAGCCCCTGCAGACTGACAGACTCCCCCATCTCCCTGAGCTCTGGTGGCACAACAGACAATTTCATTAATAGATAAAACAGACCCTTTGCTTACTGACCTTCCTGGGGATGACACTTGAACAGTTCAAGACCTTGGCAGGGGATGCAGGCAGGACAGCTGACCCAAACTGACCAAAGGGATGCTCCAGACCATATGGCATCTGCTCAACAGTAAAACCTAAGAGAAATTAGAAAGGGGAACGTTCATTATGTGCAACATTTCTCTTCTGGAGAGTCACCACTGCTCGTACTGAGGCTGGGAAGTGGCCAGACATCACCTGCTGATGGGAAGTAGAGAATGGCGTATTTTGGTTTCCTTTGCTTCCACACACAACTTTTGCTTCGTTAATCTGCCTTTATCTTGACCTGTGAGGTTTTCCCATCTTATTTTCAACCCCCTTGTTCTGCTGAGGAAGGAATTGATAGAGCAGCTGGGTGGTCACCTGATGTCCAGCCAAGGTCAACCCGCCACTGCAGTGTTAGTTTTTTATTTTCCTC